GCGAACAACGAGCCGTTTTGACAGCCCTGCCTGCTGTGTTATCGGTGTTATTTCTCCGTCTGCGGTATTATTGGTGTGATTCCGTGCCGAGTTACATTGATAACACCAATAGTACCACAGAATAACATTGAACAACACCTGCTGTGTTATCGATATTATTCCGCCGTCCGCAGTATTATTGGTGTTATTCGGCGCTACAGAATAACACTGATAACACCAATAATACCACAAAATAACACCGTGTAACACCCGCTGTGTTATCAGTGAAATTCCGCCGTCCGCAGTGTTATTTGTGTTTTTCCGCGGTTTTATTGGTGTTATCGGTGTATTTGCGAGTGTTTCTCGGGCGTCATCGTTATTATTCCACCATCTGCGATATTATTGAAGTGATTTCACGACATTTTATATTCTACCGAGCCTATTTCGAGCGAAACATGAGCCGAACATGAACACGAGTATGTTATTTGAGCCGAACACGAACACAATGTTCACGAGCCATTTCGAACACAAACCATTTTGAACTCGGGCCATTTCTAACACGAGCCAAATTGGAACGAGCCGAACACAAGCCTCGGCTCAGCCATCTCGCTCAAGCTCGGCTCGTTTACAGCCCTATTTACACCGTATAACACTCGATGTTATGGTGTTAGATGTTCTTGCTGGAAGCGAAAGCATCGTGTCATACGAAGGGATCATGGTATACAAAGACCTCCGAAACTCCCATCGTTCTCTTCCTTCAAGCAGTGATGGGATCGCGACGTAAAAATACATTTGACACTCCCACGTGACTAGATTGCGACATGCCAATCCTCCAAAACTCCCATCGTTCTCCTTCTTCGATTGCGACGGGATCACGACGTACAAAGACCTCCAAAACTCCACACGATGGGAGTGCGACGTACAAAGACCTTTTGTACTCATCTTTCTCCTTGGTGATGGGTTGGTGGCATACAAAGACCTTTGAAATTCTCATCTTTCTCCTCCCGCCTGGGATACAGAGCTTGTCGGAGCTAGCTAACAGACGAGTATGGTGATCAGATTAAGGTTTTAATGAAGAGTGCTAATTTTTTAATTTGAATGTTTTGGGTTCTAAGAATGTAAATATTGAAGTTTGAGTGTGAGATACGTAATATTGACAGTTTTGAGTGCTATGTATATAAATCTCCCAAATATCAATTGAATTCTAAATGTGATTTATCAAGTTTATTATATCTATTTCACAAAAAATAAGAAGATGCGAAAATAACTTCTAGATTTAAGGCTGGGTTGTTAGGGGGAAGAAATGTCTCAAACATTCTAAATAACAAGAGCATATCTTAAGGACTTGCTGGTAAAGTTTATAAAGTTGTTATAAATCTAGCTATGTTCCTTAGATAGTATTGAGTGATAAATTAATCACAAATTGGGGGTAGATGAGAATTTTATGATATTTTTGTAGTAGATCTCAGAAGCATAGTTTTAAGAATAATGATATAAGAAGAATCGGGTAAGTAAGACCCATGGAAGACAATGTTGTGAAAAATAGACTTGGTTAGTTTTGGCATGCAGAATGGAGGGTATAAGTGTGCAAGTAAGATGGGTAGATGAAATTAATGTGAGAGGATTGGGAAGAAAAAGCATTCCATAGGTAAGATGAATAAAAGCATTACAAAATTATTTGCATGAAATATATGTAATGCCACAAGCGGTACTTAATAAACATTAGTGGAGAACTGGGAACCTTTATTGCCACCCCAAGTAGTTGAGATAATGCTAATGATGATCTTGCCTGAGCATAGACATTGTTGAAGTCTAAGTTCAAGTTCACTACACCGCTATCCAACCTATTTTCCTTCGTTGTAAGGGCTAATATCTTTTATTTCTTTTTTGAGGAATGAAAGTCATTTCTTTCTTTTAAAAAACTGCAGCTATGCCAAAATATTGCATTTTCAATTCTAGTTGTGCTGTGGCAATTTTTCTTAGCACTTTATGTGTATGCACAACTTGTCTGCATATTGCATTACAATTGTATATTGATTAATCATCCTTTAATAAACTTTGCTTTTTTCTTCTCCCGAACGATGAGTTTTATTTGCTGATTATAACATCATCTCAGGAAAACCTTCGGTTATCTGCTGGAAAGCAAACACATCCATTTTTTTCCATCTGTAGAACTATAAACAGATCGTCACCGACTAAAAGTGTAGAAAAATCTGAGAACCGTATTTGGCTTGGTCTTGAAGGGGATCGCTGCTTCTCGTTTCCTCCATTTCATGTGTTTGATGCTGTACAGGTGGATATCTGATTCTGTTAATATGCTCAGTGGAAGATTTTGTTTACTTTTTCTACAGCAGTTCAATCTTTCTTTTTCATGAATTATAATAACTCTTCTTGCTGAATTATGATGAAAATTGCTGTTTTCATACGGTATTGCAGGATGATGTTGCTGTTCCTAATTGGGAAAACTGGAAATTTTTAGAGACCAGCCTGCCAAAATTTGATGGATGTTGTAGTATGAAAAATTCGTCTGTTTTTGAGGTTTCAAATAAGTCCTTATTGTTGGAAGCTGCTCGTGGAAAGGACGAAAGGTTGGATATTTTAGTAGTTGATGAGAAAATGAATGGTGCATATAAGACAATAAGCTCTTCTAAATTCTCAAGCGAGCTGCTTTTAAAAGAGAAGCTATCTTCCCCATCAAAAATGGTAATTATCCTATGGAATTTTTATAATAAAATATTTGACATTGCATTTATGTGCCTGCCTTCATATTATACATAAGCCATCCCCTCCATGTTATATATAGAACATCTAACTCTTGCTCGTTTATCATCAACAGGCTCACTTTGGCTGCAACTTTTCTCGGACATCACCGTATGTAAGCATTGCACATGACGGGGATCAAGACGAGATACACAATGAAAGGTTAGCTATATGTACTATATGCAATTTCAGAGCGATGATTATATCATAGATATTAGTTGGACAAATTTTTACCAAGATTATTTTCTTGCTCTTTGATGGAAGCTCTTTCAATATATTTCCAACTGCATTGGGCTAAACCCTTAATTTCTAGCTTTCTTTTCTCAACTCTGTTTTTTTAAAGTCCTATACCCCAGTGACATGGAGTTTTGACCTTGTTTAACGGAATTGATTGTTTAAATTGGTCATTATGTTTATTTCTAAGAAGCTAAAAGCAAATAGCTGGGATATTGATTTTTTGATGATTATGTGTTTTTTAAGAAAACTTGATTTTTTTTTTAATTCTCTAAATTGAACTCTTTTATCTTTGCATTAACAGAATTGATTGCTTAAATTGGTCATTTTGTTTATTTACAAGAAGCTAAACCCAAATAGCTGGTATATTGATTTTATGATGATTATGTGTTTTTTAAGAAGACTTGATTTTTTTTTATCTTCTTAATTGAACTCTTTTATCCTTGCATTAATAAAGGATGTTCTCGTAAGAAAATTGTGATATTTGAGACAAGGTTGATTCTGATGATGGTCTTTTTTTGTGCACACTTGAAATTACTTCAGTCATTTAAACCAAATTTCGTGATTATGCTATAAGGTTTAAAGCTTTATTTATTGGCTAAATTATTCTCCAAGGGATTGATCTCTACACCCGTCTATCTTCTTATGTCTTTGTTTACTCTTATTCTTTATGTTTAATATCTTGGGCATGAAATTTATGATAAATTTGAAATTATAATAAAAAATTCAAAGTCTTCTTGATCATGAGTGTATTTTTTCTGGTTTTTGTTAACTTTTTAGCTTTTGACGTTCTAAAATTGTGGTTTCTATGTTTTTTTTTTCATTTAAGTTTTAGAAGATACGAACAAGAATGCTATGTATTGCAGATATTATATTGAGATCTTCAAAGACGTGATTTTTTTTTATTTTTGTTGGTTATGCGACCATTCCTCCATACCACTAAACTAGAGCCTTAAAAGGGAGGGGTTCAGTATCCCATAACCACACTTAATGGAAAGAAGAGGGTGCAAAGGGTGGTGGGTCTGCAAACTTAGAGAGGAAGGAGTTTCTCTTTTGTGTGTAGAAAGGAGGTCTTTAGTTTTTCAAAGTGATGTGGCTACTTTTGATCTATCAAAGGAATAAACTTCTAGGAATACAGGGAGCAGCATTCATTTGGAGCCGGACAACAAGAAGATGAGAGATGACAGTAATTACCTCTTTCCCATGTCCAACTCTCGTCTACTCATTAGATGATTGTATCTTTTTGTCATTGACAAAAAATAAATCATATCTTTATCCTTCCGCTTTGTAAGAAGTTTTTGATGTTTTTTTTTTTGGAAGTTTAAGGGATTGCTTGCTCTCGTTTGACTGTGAATGCATGTGGATCTCATTGAGCCATATAAATTTGCTTATGTTTGTATATTTTTTATGTTCCCCTTTGTATTTGGTTGCATGTTACCATTAATCCAAAATATAGTTTCAGTGTGTTGGCTATTCTACATAGAAATCCAAGTGTTGGAAGAAGAAAGGGTTATGGGTGAAAATTTTGATTTTTGAGACTTACATTATTTAAAAAAGCTAATAGAAGATTACTACTATCTAAGAAAGCATTATCATCTTTTGAAGGGATTAAAGTTGTTTGCTTTTTAATCAAGAGGAGTTTGAGTTGATGAACAAGCAAATACTAAAACTTATTTATCTATTTCTGCCCAAGAATGCTGCCTTCAACATTTTTAATAAAATTACCACAATAGGCACAATGTATGTCACACCCCAATTGAACCCCCTTTAAAGGTCAACTGTGGTGCAACAGAAATGAACATTTGGTCAGACTAAACTTTTACCAACACTTATTCTAGCTTGCAGAACCAGAATCTATTATGTGATGAACTAATCTAACTAAATCGAATGTACATGATACATTTTATTTCACAATTCATTCATTTTCACATATAGTTGAAAGCGTGGAAACTCATATCACCAAAAACATGTATGTATTTATAAAAAGTCGCTAAATTCAAAATAATAAAAGTGCCTTCCCAAAAGTCTGTACAAGCTCCAAAAATTATGAAATGTAAAATTTATACAATCCACACCTAAATACTTGTCGCGGTGCTCTTTAACCCTTCCTGAACATCAGCGTAAAGTGAGCTACATCAAGCTCATCGAAATAATCAAACCTAAGATAATATGTTATAGACGAAAAGAAACAACGTGCATGTTTATATGTAATCCATGTACATGTCCACAATACATGTCTCAACATGGTATAAACATATAAAACATATAAAAGAAAATACATTTAATACTGGAAATTATGACTGCTATATAAAGCATGTAATCATTCATGCTTGTGTTATCTTCATAAGCATATTGATAAGAGTCATCAATCTAGTCATATGAATGCCACTTGTAATTATGCAGGCCTCAACCATTTTTATGCCATGTCATGTCATTGGGTGGGCGCCAATCCCAAAGACTTCATTAACTATTGATACAAGTTGGACACCCCCAACATGAAAATTATCAATAACCCTTCTTAAACCAACAACTCCTTATATTCTGTCTTTGATCCCAACAGTTCCCGAAGTTGTCTCCGTTTGACTACTAAGAGTCTGGAATCCCATCATTTCTTATCATCTGTGCTTGTAAGTATTAATGTAATAATTTATAAAATCACTTGTGACATTTCTTAAATCATAATTTCTGTAACAAACATTTGTCATAGGCATTTCGTATATCATGTTCATGAATCATAACAATGAATAGCTGTAAGTAATGATTTCATCAACGTATTCATCTGATTCATAGTTATCACAACTTGACCCGATGCTTGGAATTAAACAAGCCGGTTACTGACGATTGGACAGTCGGAATTAAAATTCTCTATATTTATTTTCCATAACTAACATTTAATTAATGAAAGAGCCACTAAAAATAGTAAATTAAAGCAATACAATTAAATTTACCTCATTACTGGTTCTCTGCTCCCAATCAATAGTACACAAGCATTCTCTCTTATAACAATATTATATGTTACTTTATCTTTTTTGGCTAATTTTTTTGGCTTGATTATTTTATTTTTATGTTATTTAACTATTCCTCGCCATCCTCATATGGTCACTTTATATTCTTTAAACTTTTTTGTTGCATTTTGTGATAAATGATAATGGTGACTTAGTGATGGCAGTGGGTTGCCTTTTGATGAGATTAATGATTAGTAAATGCGTTGAATATTTAGTTTAGCATCTCAAGATGAGATCTGGAGTTCTAGGTGAAATATTCATGTGTTTAGTGATTGAAATGCTTAGATTACTATAGATTAAGCTTGTTTGGACTGATTTGAAAGATTTCTTTAGAAAAATGGTGCAAAGTTGGGTAAATGGTTGATGATTTTTATGGGTGGTTGCCTTAGATTGTGGCATTATGATCTTGAGTAGATTGTTAAATTTGAAGTTTATGTGCGTGTTAAGCGACAGATAATAAGAATATGTTCTATTCCTATCTCGCCTGACCGAGGGCTTCTAAGAGGAATTTTAGAGTGGTTTCGAGGGTTGTGTGTGGATTAGTGAATGTTATTTTAAGAATATAAAAATATAGAGAGGATGCTAATAAGATTGATAGTGAAACTTAAGATAATTGCAATTAAAATTAAAATTAAATAAGATTAACTCTCTAATTTCACCAAAGAAGAGCCACACTTGAATTTGCCAAACACCTAACAGAGAAAGAAAAGTTTAACTCAAATATTAAATCACTGAAATAAGTCATTACATATTAGCCTATTTATAGAGCTTTCATTAAGCAAAAGTCAAATAAAAGAAGATGTAAATTTTAGAGGAAAAGATGGATGACTATTAATAGATGAAGGTGCTAATCACCTTTCAATGTGGAAATTGACCGAGTCAAGAATATCAAATAGGTTGGATGGCTAGAACATGCCAACCCTGTATGTGATTCTGCCACCAAATATTTTGGTAAGATAACTCCTGAGGGGGAATCATCACAGTATACGAGAATGGTTTGTCGAAACATAGTGCACCAACCATAAGGGCATCTAGCCTTAGGCTAAACCCAGAAACATCCTCCAAGAGGGAAAACACCACACTTATCTGAGATGAGCGGGATACTCTACTTCGAACCCGCACAGAATGCTTAACCGGATAGAAGTGTCATGGAAAGAAGTATTGCTTTCTCGCACAAGAGAGGTATCAATCGAACTTACTTTTTTCTTTTGACCAGCCCATAGAAGCTTTTATTTTTTAAAATTCAAAATTTCTTGAAACTAAAGTTAAAATTTAAATAAAAAAAAACAAATCCAAACATTTCTTTTAATTTGGCTTTTATAATGAGCCTTGAATGAGCACTTTCTTGGGCTTTTGTTTGGACTCTTTTGTAAATGGTCTTTTAGTTTTATTTTATTGATTTATATGATGTGCTTTATCAACTCCAGCAGGCTCAATTGTACTCCACTTCGTCAAGTTGAATCTAAGAAGTCTTCTACTAATTGGTGCTAGAGTCTCCAGGTCAGAGCAGGTCAACCAAATATCATCAGAAGGTGGTTTATTTTTTCATTAAACTTGAACATAATGCTCTACAGTTGGGTCAATTGGTGTTCCTTCGTGATGATACATTCAACATCAAGAAATGATGGATGTTGTAAATGGGAAACTATATTTCATGCTAAAGAACCATGACCAAACCAGTGGAAGTTTGCTAACTCTTTCATATGATATAATTTTTTCAATATTAGTGGCATAATGAATTAGCATATCAATAGGTAAATTAAGCTGGTGGGCATTAGATCCAATTTTTGTAAAAGTTTAATTTGAGTTTCATGCTTTTGCATGTAATTTCTTAAACTGAGTGGTGTGATATCGCTCAGGGCGGATGCGAATCAAAATACAGTTGCCTTTAAATTCTTTTATTGACTTGTTGTAATTTGCCTTAGAAGCATATTTATCATTACTTAAAGTAATTTTCTTTGTAATAGTATCAAGGAGATTTTGAAAAATTTATGCAAATAATATGCCGAATCAGAGAATGCATGAGTTGGAAGATTGGCTACATCAGTAGGTCATTTAGGGTTTTGACCATATATTTTTTCAAAATGTGTACTCTTAGGTTTTTAAGAAGTGGTGTTGTCATATGTAACTGAGAGATTGGTAGATGCCAGCTCTAGTTTCTAATTTTTTTTTCTTACACGACTCCTGATAGATTTTCTGAAGCCCGATTAATTATTTTAGTTTGCGAAAATGAAATATATAAAAATTTTAATTTTGTGCTCAATAACTTCTAGAGAATCTAAAAAAAAATGTAACAAATCGAACATCGTGATCATACACAATGGTTGAAGGAAAGCCATATAAATTTACAATTTCTTGAAAGAAGAATCTAACAATGGGAGAGACATCAGTAATTTTTGAACATGGCAAGAAATGTGTCATCTTTGAGAAACGATCAACTATAACAAATATGATATAATGTCATCGAATTATACGGGGCAATCCTATATCAAAATTGATGAAGAGATCTTCCCACGGCCTCTAGGGAAAGGGCAACATGATGTATTGTTTGGTGGATTTGACTTGTTTACCGGTCAAACATCATGCTACTAAACTTTGAACATCTCATTTAAGTTAAGGCCAATAAAATTGAATTTTCTATGTAATAGACGGTCATATCATTTCCAAAATGTCTAGCTATTTTTTCAAAATTTAACTTTGGGATTAAAAATTCTCTAAATAAAGTTTGAGTATTATAAAATTATTTCCAAAACAGCTGACATCGTTCAAATTTTAGAATATTTAGTTTTGAAGAAATTATGGTTAAAGCTACTTTAGATAGGACATCAACATATTTATTTTCAATCTCTTATTTTTGGTTGAGGACAAAAAAATAATCTTGAAAAAATTCAACGCATTTCGTATGTTTTGACTTAACTTTCATTGAGTATTGATGAATTTTAGGGCATGGTGATCTGAGTTAAGAATGAACTCTCTATGTAAAAGATAATGTGCCAAAAATTCAAAGATTGAATGATCACATAAAATTCTCTATCATATGGGGTGTGTCATTTTTAGCCTCATTTTATTTCTCACTAAAAAGCAATTGAGTGATTTTTATGACTTAAACTTTCACCAATTTCAATTTTAGAAGCATCAAAAAATACTTTAGAGGTTTTAGAAAAAATAGATTGCCTAATGATAGAGGTATAAGTAATTAAAATTTTAACATGATCTAAGGATTTTTTTGCTCCTAGAGTCTAAAAATATTTCTTCAATTTCAGAATGATGGTGACAGCAATAATACTAAGTCCTTAATGATTCTTTTATAAAATGTAGTTAGGCTATAATAACTTCATACTTCATTGAAACTCTTTAGTTGGGAGCCAGTTTAAGAATTCTTGAACATAAGAAGGTTCTAATTTGATTCTAGAAGTAGAAACAATGAATCTTAGAAAAATCTACTTAGTTTGTGAGAGGAAACACTTCTTTAAGTGATATAAAGTTGTTCTATTTTTAGGGTTTAAAAAATTTGTCGTAGTTGCTCTAGATGGCCTCTCTCACTTAGGCTAAAAATTAAAATATCTTCAAAATATATGACAATTTTCCTATAAAGGATTTTAGGATGGTGTTCATTAGCCTCATGAAAGTACTTGTAGCATTTGAAAGCCCAAAGGATATGACCATCCATTCAAAAAGTCTGTCTTGAGTCTTAGTTGCAATTTTCTACTCATCTTTAGATCGAATTTGAATTTGATGATAACCACCTTTTAAATCGAACTTAGAGAAATTTTCCCCTGAGATTGAGCCCAATATGTCATCTAGTTGAGGAATAGTAAATCTATATTTAATAGTAATTTTCTTAATGGCTCGACTTTCAACACATTTTTAATCTGTCATCTTTCTTAGGTGTTAATAATGCAAGAGCTGCATGTGGGCTAAAATTTCTTTGTAAACCCCTCAAGTAAATCATCTACTTGTCTTTTTAGTTTAACATTCTCATTGGTTCTCATCCTATAATGAGGGATGTTAGGAAGTTGTGAACCTGAAGCTATATCAATAGCTTATTGAATGGAGCTAAGAAAGGGTAACCTATCTGGCTGTTCATTTGGTGCAATATCACTATACTCATAAATGACTGGTAAGAATGCATCAGTTTTGTGCACTTCATTTGAAAAAGGTGTTTTTTCTCTCACATTTAAGTGAAAAGGGGACATTATAAATTTTTTTCTTATGATTTGAAATCCAAGTGTTTTTTGCTTTTGGAGTTAATGAAGCAGACAAACCAAAGGTTTTGGAATTGAGATAAAAAATAACAAAGTTATACATACTAATATGATTTACTAAGCTTAGCTCCTTTCCTTATGGTTATTTTATATTGTAAATTAGAGTTAGGTTTTTGAGGTGCTATGGTTGGTGTCTTCGCTATAGGTTTGATAAAAATAAATTCAATTGCCTTATTATTATTTTTGAAATTCTAAGTATCTTTTCTATCATTGTGGATCACATTTAAGTCAAATAATCAATATCTAGCTATCAAAATGTGAGCAATATCCACTGGGTGGACATCTCACCAGATTTTGTCTTTATAGTTACTAATCTTTATAGGAACAAGACACCTACTTGTTATGGATAGAGATGTATGGTTGTCCCAGCTAACACAAAATGGTTTAGGGTGCGATTTAGTTTTGAAATTGGCTCTTATAATAATGTGAGTTGAGATGACATTCATTATAGTTCCTCCATCTATAACTAACGTACATCTTCTTTCATTTAAATAACACATGCTAAAACTATTCTTTTTTCTCAAATCATTTATTTCATTTTTGATAATAGTTAAACATCTCATTACATTTAATAGAAGATAATTCATAAATTCTAGATCATCATCAGAAAGTGGAGTCCTTCATAAATTTCTTCCATGTCTTCATTTAAAAGATTCTTAGTCTCTTTTTTGAAAAATGATACGAGCTTTCCATTGATTTTGCATATGATCTTTTTTATGACATTTGAAACAACTTATATCTTTATCTTTATTATTTTTAGAACTTTTGTTAATCGAAGTTTTGAAGAAATGACAGTAGGCGGAGTGGGTTTACTGATTGGCCTATGAGATGAATGAAGGGTTTTTGACCTTTGTGTTTCATAAGAGAGATTTATTTCGTTTTTCATTAACAATGTATAATGGAATACTTCTTCTTTGATTTTGGGATCAAATAACTTAACTTTATTTCTAATATTGACCCTAAGTCTAATGAAAACTTATTGACTTGTTGTCAATCATTATCACTGCAATCGATTCTAGGTATTTTGTTACACAGATTACCTTGCTTTAAGTTCAATAATTGCCCATGCAATTCCTTATCTTGATGTCTAAGACAATATTTGGTTCTTAACATCTTTTTTATTTCAATCTAATAAGAATGATCCATCCTAACTTTTATTCTTTAGCGAATGTATTATCCCAATAAATCTTAGCACGCCCAGTTAATTTCTTTTTAGCAAATGCAACTTATTCATAATCATTCATTTTATGCAAATAGAAAAAACCATTCATTTGGACTAACCAATCTATAAATTTATTTGAATCACAAGATTCATCCTTAGAGGGAGCTTTAATTTTATATGTCCTAGATAGATCATTAAAGTCATCACTCTTCCTATAATGTTGATCTCTTCTGCCTCCACTCCTAGGATTAGGTTGCTTTCTATGGAGTTGGCCTTATACTAGCTATAAGTATGAATCATTTAATGATGTAACATGAGTTTGGGTCGGGGGTGTGATAGGTTTTCTATTATTTTTAGGATAATTTAAGATAGTTTGCATTTGATCTTTCAGTTTTTGCATTTATTATTTATTATCCTTAAATAGTTTCTTAGTCTTAATATCATTTTTATGAATTTTATAGTCTAATGAATCGACTATTTGAATTAGGTTTTAAATTTGGTTTTGAGAAGTAGCCCTTGATGCCATGAATGATTTCTTTTTTAAATGACGAAAAAGAAGAGAGGAAAATGTTATAGTTGTATGAGAGTAACTTTTAAATATAGATTCAAAAAATAAAGTGAATTTTAAGCTGTGATGAGGGGGGTGCAAAAACCTTTTTTGTCACAAGTTCTCCTTAGGTAGTTTAGGACTTTTTGATGAGGGGGGTGCAAACACATGATAAAGTTCTCCTTAAGTTATCTTTTAAATTTATTTTCTTGATCCACATGACGTGCTACATCCCCTAAATTCTTATTTTGTCTATGTCATTAGCAATCAATGGTTGGATTTGTTAGCTGTTATTTTACGTCCTAACTTGATTTTTTTCACCTTTACCTAGGTTGGCATCATATTCTAAACAGAGCATTTGTTGTGTGGATTGCAGCTTATGGACCGAGAAGTATCGGCCAAAACTTTCTTCAGAGGTCAGCCACTAGTAAATTATTTCTATGAAATGTATGTTATGTTTTCGTGGTTTCTTCCTTCCTGATTCTTTCTGTTTAGTATCCTTCATTACGAAGACAAATTCCATCTTTTCTTAAGTTTGACTTTTTATATTGTCCTCCAGGTTTGTGGTAATGTTGAATCTGTGAAGCTCCTTAGTGATTGGCTAAAATCTTGGGATGAAAGAGTTTTACCGAATGCTACAAATGGAAATCGTAGAAACCACTCTTCTATTGAAGATGGTGATTATAAATTTCATGATCATGAGTCTGATACTGATGAATTAGATGGTGGGGACTTGTTAAAAACAGTGCTGCTAATTACAGGGCCGGTTGGAGTATGTAACTTTTTTTGGATTTTGTTGAATCTGAAATGATTCGACTTTTGTGATTATTTATTATGTCAAACTCATTAGCTGTTGCTTAAAGTTGTATTATTTGCAGAGTGGGAAATCTGCTGCCATCTATGCTTGTGCCAGGGAGCAAGGGTTTAAAGTAATAGAGGTATGCTGAGATGCTTTTTTATTTTTGTTAACATTGTATTTTTTTTCCTTGAACAGACATTAGTTTAAGAAGTTGTCTGAAGATAATGAAATGTAATCTGCCTTTTTATTTCCCGTGATTTCAGCAGCAGCTTTCATTTTTTATTTTGATATTTAGTCGCTGTCATTATACATTGTTGAACCTTTTAACTAAAATTTTATTAGGATTTTTGGGGCATAATTTGCGATATGATGCTGACAGTGATATCACTTGATAGGATGGCAATTTCTTCTTATTGCTGGATGGATTTTCGTTTCTTTGAACTTGTCGCTAGTTAACTTAGAAAGCAGAATGAATAATATATGGTTTCTACCTAGGGGGTGTAAACGAGCCGAACATGAGCGAGCCCAGGTTCAGCTCGTATTCGGCTCGTTTGTATTTCAAGCTCAATGGTGGGTGTGTGTGGGCGAGCCGAACACGAGCCGTTCACGAACAAAAAGTGATTTTGACAACCTTAATCACATAGCCATAAGATGTTAAGGATTAGGGCAAGATTTAAAACATCATTTGAATCTAATTTAATAATTTTTATTTTATTTACTTCAATAATACTTTTAATTGATTATAACCCTTTGTAGCCTTGTAGTCAAGTAAATATTTTAAAAATACTACTCAACAAATATATATATATATATACTCATTAACTTAGCGAATGAGCCGAACACGAGCTTTATAACGAGCCGAACATGAGTTGTTCGCGAACAACGAGCCGTTTTGACAACTCTATTTCTACCTGACGCGTCAATGAAAGAAAATAATACTTTTCACTCAGCCCACCAGTTGGAAGGTTCTGCTAACTGAATAATGCAGGACCAACTTAAGGCATTCTACTACCTATAGTGATCAGTGAGGAGGAGATGATTTCAGACGAGATAGAAGAAAGGGAGCCTTTTAACGGAGCACAATTTATTTGTAAGGGTTGCAATTCAATTGTAACTTAAAGGTCAGATTTTATATCTATGTGCTAGGGTTGTGAACAAGTTGAGTCAACGTCGAGTCATGGCCAATTTGAGTTTAGCTCACCTATCTCATAATAAGTACGAACTTAAGCTTGAACTCCAGCCGAACTTGTATCAAGCTCTTGCTTAGCTTGTTGTATCTGCTGAATGCGCAAGCTCGACTTGTGAGCTTGTGTTTTTCTCTAAATTCTTTAAACTATTAACCGCAATGAAGCGAGAAAGTTGTGATAGGAGTTTGCAAAAGAATGTATTAGGGGTGGAAGTCATGGTCGGAGCTCATTAGGGAAGTAATCAATAATGAGTAAGTCAGTGGTGGGAGCTCACTAGAGAAGACATCAACAACATGTCTGTGAGGAAGTTGTGGTGGAAGCATACCGGGGAAGACATCGATCACTTGCGACAGAAGCTTATTGACATGAAGACATTGACATCTAAGACGAGGAAATTGTGATGGGAGCTCGCTTGAGAAGGCATTGATAGGGCCAAAAATTTTTGAAGAAGAGTTCATGGCACTTGTAGGCTGCAATGTCTGGGATTTAACTTAAAGTGGGGGTTGCATGTGATTTAAGATTTATCGATTTAGTCAAGAAGTCTCACAAGCCAAAGAGTTGTCCCGTCAAGTTGGAATTCTAGCTAAAAAAAATAAAAAAAAATAAAGAAAGCTGGAGTTCGTGCTCATATAATGTATGAGTTGTAATATGAATTTAAGCTGGAGCCCACGATTTAATAAGCTTGACTCTAGCTTGTTAAAGAGTCATGTTTGAGTCAGCTCGTGTGCTAGCTTAGCTCGCACACCCCTATTATTGGCAATGATCTTAACAACTATAATGGAAATAAATTAGCACTATGGATGATAGAAATCAGACGCAGGAGTGACACCTATCTAATTACAAAAAATATGCTTGGTTATCTGAGCACGCCAATGAGGTTCAACAGATTCTTTATGGGAGGTTAATTGAACAAATGTGAAAGGGATAATGGTGCATCCATACATGATGTTTTAAATTGTAGGATTTTATACAATAGATCCATCTGAGGCACAAAATCATGCGTACAAATATATTTGCAATGTGCAAACCTTTAATTCTGACAATTATTTGTTTCTTTAAATAGAAGCAAAAATATAAAAAAAAATAACAGATAAATTTGAAGTTTGAAAATCTTATACTTGATTGGAAATGTAGTCTTCATTCAAAATTTTAGCTGTGTTGTATTAAATTGAACAAAAATCAATCAAACAATCAAGCCAATCACTAGTAATTAGAAAATAAGCGCAAGAAAGATAAGCGATCACCAGGTAGAAGAATCTATACCTCATATTAATGTAAGGAGATAACTTCTCCAAAGTATCAACAACTTCTGGTTTCACTATGAGAAGGTTTGCAGGAATTGCATGTGAAGTCCCGTTTCAGTTACTCGAGGGAGAAGAAATGAATAGCCGTAAGATGAAACAAAGAACCGAAGAAGAGGATGGGATAAGTCGAGTAGCCTAAGAAATGGGAGATGAAGCAGAAGGTTCGAAGGCCAAGAAGATAGATTTCACTCTATAAAACGTCGCAATCAGAGTTGAGCGACTTGTCTGTGGTGAAGGAAGATGGGAGGAGAGGAAGAAACCAAAGGGGAAGAAGAAAGAAGGCTCGCTCTTTTCTCATACCTTATAATGAGTCATTGGGTGCAACCATTGTAAAGGAGAATGAAGAAGATGAATGGAGGAAGAAGGGAAACCATCATGGAGGAAGAAGGAAAACCATCAAACCCTAACAGAAGAAAGGAGGCGCTTGTTTCATCTGGAGGAAGCATTGAGCGTGGCCCTTGTCATTGAAGTTGATGGAGATATTCACGCATGATCGTCGAGCGCCACACAAGAGGATGAGGCGAGTTCTTGCAATTGTAGGAGCACTTAGTTGAAAGTTTTGGAGTTGAAATAGGTTTTTCTGCGTGAATTCGAGCCTTGCCACTCAGTTCGAATAATTTAGGGCAAGGGAGAGGGGAAGTAAGGTAAAATACTTAATAATTTGAGTTATTATGTTTAGTTACAATGAAATATTAGAAACTTTATGTTTAATTGATTTCCATCTTATTGCTAATTGTTTTAAGGTAACAATAACAAAAGATTAAAGCATGAAAAGGTGAATTTTGCTGCACGAAGGAATTCATGTATGAAGTTTAATTTAAATGTTTAATTTTTATTTTTTATGATATTAGGTGTACAAGCAATTTAAAGGTTTCTAAGTTAGGTATGATAAAATGTTTAGGAAAATAAATTATGGTATAAAATAGAGTAATGCAAATGTATGATGTAGCTTAATATTAAAATAAAAAAATGGCTAAATTAATTAGTTATATGTTTCATGAAAAAACAAAAAAGAATTGGATGAGTATATAGGTATATGTTTATATAATTAAAATAATAAATAAATAAATTTTTTTTATATGAATGCCCATGTTTATGTTAGGTCTTCAATTTAGAAGAGTCAATGTCAGGGCAAATCAAATCAAATTGATTGTCATCGAGACGAGTACTCATACTTTTAACATATAATAATATTTTATTTCTTTGCAATTATTTTGCAGTTGTTGACACTTGCGCAAGTTTTATTCTGATTGAGATATTCTTCTCTTTATTGGTCACATTACTATGAATTTTTGTAGCTATTTACTAGCCTACATTGTATGCTAAATTGAATACGATAAACACATGAATGATTATTTTATGTTGACTGCTTGTTTTGCTTGACTAACTATGATGAAGTCAACCTTTTATGATACTAGTAGGGGAACACTAAAGTACTCGTGCATATATATGAAAATGAATATTAATATTGAAATACCTTAATTGATATAAATTTTTAGGTGGTGCTATTGTGACAGTTGTACAAATATAAAATGATATTGATATGCAATTGATGTAGTAAGATTCTTTGAATGACATCAAATATTTATATTGATTTATTAATAACTTAACTGACATTCATATTACTTTCTTTTCCCTTGTATTACTGTAGTCTTTGAGAATGAGTATTCACTGACTTGTGAAGCTCATTGTTATTTTAAATTATTTTCATGTTAATTAAATGATTAAAAGATGAGCGATATAATGGATAATATTTATAGAGGACACAAAAAACCGATAATAAGGTATATTTAAATACAATGCTTTAATTTATTTATTGACTCGTTCATTTGTTAATATTTAATTATAGAAAATAAGTATAAAAAATTAAATTCTCACCGTCCGACCTTCAATACCCGTCTTTGTTGAATCCAAGTCTCAGGCTGGGTCGTGACATTGCATGAAACTTAAAATTCATTTAATCAAAATGGAAATAAAAAAGAATTCAAATAGGATATTTGTTTTTCATGCCTTGGGCTATACATTATTAATAAAAAAAATTGTCTTAATTTTTTATTAAAAATACTAGAAATGAAGTCAATAATTGTATCCAAATTAAACAAATTACATGGTATTCTATAGTTACTTCAGTTTGATAACTAAGCAATCTCATAACGGCCTTCGCCTAAATAGGAGGGAACCAAATAAAGGAAATTTGTAACATAGACGATCATTAGAAGCTGGCTAAATGATTCATGAATACCATGACATAGAAATCATTAGGAAGCCAAAATGGTAGGAAATTGGAGTTGAGCGCTATGAGGCTTAAGGAATGAGAAATCTTATAGAAATAATGATTACATCCAAACCAGCAATTCAGTTAAATAGAGAGCAAACACACAAAGAGAAGGTTTTGCTGATCGAGTTCAATATGAATCTGTTGATCTTGAGAAATTCAATTTTTGCGAATTATTTAGTTGATGCCCATTTTGGAAATGTTGGCATAATTGTCATACTTGTTGAGAAATTTATGAATTATCATATTCCTAGATCTTATTTACTACGTTATAAATTGTATTTGTTATCCATCACAATTAATGGACGTGTTTTCATCTTTTCTAATAGCTTTAGAAATAAGATCAGTATAAAAACATCAAAGTCCCGCTAATGATATGTTCGTTGTGAATTTTGAGGATTAGAAAAAAAAAAGAGAAAAGAATACTCAATATTGATTGACAGAACATGATATCAAGTTAAATTTGATATTAATATTTGGAGTAATGCTAGAAACTTTTGATATTTATAACTTGTTAGCATTATCTTGTCAATTGTGAATAGTGTTATATGATTCAACATAAAATGCATGTTATTTTGAAAAAATAAGCTTAGTTCATAAAAATCATAAATAATTTATTAATTATTCAGCAATTTAAGAGAAACAAATGAGCTAAAAGTAAAATAGAAGCAATGCTATGTAAATTGAACATTAGATTATTTAATATACATGAATGCTAATAAACTGCTGCCATGACGCCAAAAAAAAAAAATGTAAATAATGTTATCATGATTTTGCTAATGCATAAATATTAGAGTAAATTGCTAAACTCTAGGACTGCAACTCAAAATATATGAATTTTTTTGTCTATAATTTTCATATTCATAAAAAATTATAGTCAACACGAGAGATCATAAATTAAATTAACTTTGTTTCTTCATTATTGTCATCATCTCCCAAATCATAATATTCTTTACCATTATCATTTTATATGTTCAGTTGCAATGTATTTTACCTAGATAAATATTCTCTCTTTTTCTATAAATGAGTATCAATTGTTGTAATTTTTTTCATGGACACAACTATCTCTCCCAACAGCACGCCATGTCAACTTCTTTCCTATCAAGCACTAATTCATCCTTTTCATCTGACTCATCATTTTAATTTCCTAACTAACCACTAACTTACAGTTGAAAGACTAGAAGAGTGGTTGAGAAACCTTTTAATTGAGCGAAAAACAAAGGTTCACTTAACATCTGTAGATTAGCCAAAGGGCATACATAAAATCTATAGCCTAAATTGCAAGTACCTAAACAAATAAGAATTGTAATAGGGAAGAGTGCAGGAATCATAGAGAAAGCCACAAGAAATCTGAAACTACCGGAAAGAAAACAGATGAATCACAAGGAAGCTGATGAAATCAGAGTTCCCATAACTATCATTCCGGCATGCAACATTGATCATTTGAATAAAAGCATCCAGCTAGTGGCGGTATTCCCACCGAAGGACTTTCAGAAAACTGAGATAAATGATGTCTAACCTAGAGTTGACTTTTAGATAAAACTGGAAAAGAATAAAAGGAACAGTATTCATAATTCTGATATTCGTGTTGTGTCATAATGCTGATGATGATGATAGAGGGGTGAATGTATGATCTAAGTTCCAACCCTCTACAGTATCAATTAAAGTGACCAACCCAGAGGAATGAGAATATATAAGATTATTTTTTGGAAACAGAATTCTATTTGCTGATTGCTTGATTTGGCTTTCTACGTTTGTTTATATCGTCTAATGTGATGCTTGATTCTTGAAGGGAATTGATTGGTGCTTGATATAAACATTCTTAGTGCTCAAGTACTTATATGCAAGTAATAGTCTAAGTGTGGAACTTCCTGGAGAACAATTTTAATTTTTGTAATATGGTTTGCATCACTCCTGTCACTCCTGTCTGCATTGTGTTAATAGGCACCCTATCATGTTTGGCTATAAAAGCTCATGGAAATCATGCAAAAAATTAGAAATATTTACTTTTCCTTATTTGTTTTTTCCTTGCAACGACATGCTGTATTTGTATTTTTTGGGCAGGTAAATGCTTCTGTCCTGAGAAATGGTGCATTCGTGAGGCAAACATTTGGTGAAGGAGTGGATTCACTTGGACTTACTCACTGGTTGGCCTTTAAGCTTGTTTTTTTCAGCCTTGAAAATTTCTATTTTTCAGCTATTCATTTTTTTGATAGATATATAAACTTTCTCATGGTGGTTTCTAGTGAACAGTTTGTTTGCCACAACATCTCTGTTTGATTATTTAGAAAATTGTTGGTTACTACAGTGTGCACTGTGGAAATCTTGGACATCTTTTTTGTCTAGGCTGTGTGGCTTGATATGATAATTTTTATTTTAGGTCATGTGATTTCATATGTGAAACTGATATTGAGAGCCTACAAAACCTTAGGGCTGGTTTGGGGTATTTGCAACTATTTATAAAGCTTTAAAAATAAGAAAGTATTTATAGAACTGTGAATTTTTTGTCCAAAGCTCCTTTCTTTTAAGGCGATAGAATTATAAAATTTTAAATCAAGAAACTATGGAATGTAGCAGTGTCATTAGATTTAGGATTATGAGCTCTATCATGCAAGGCTATTCTAGATGGCAAATTTTTCTGAAATGTTGCTGAAAATCTGTTAGCTTAACTCAAATAGGGTAGCAATATGGAAAACGAAGTGATAGAAAGTGGTCCCATATTGATCCTTAATTTGTTGTTTAAATGGAGTATTTTGGTCTTGATTTTACTTTCTTCATTAAAGTTTTAATTGTAATTATTTACTTTATTAAAATTTACATTTATAATGATTCTAAAATGAACATTCATCACAAATATTTTTTTTGAAGAGCTGTTTGGCATAGACAATGGCTTGCTCTGCCTTTAGAGGAGAAAGGTAATGTTTGACTACTTTAATACGCCTTTTTGTTGACCATAGTATCTACTCCATAACTCAGTTCATGCAAATATGATGAAAATAGTCAATGACCGTTGTGACACCATAAAAATCGAGTCTAGATTGACTTGAGTGCAACCTAAATCATTCAATGATGCTCTTTTAACAAAATGGAACGTCGTAGCATGTCTGAAGAACCAAAAATACCTATGGATCTTAATATGTTTGATCAAATATGATGAAGTTGAAAAGCAGTAATTTTATGCATAGATCAAAGACATTATCTCGAGTATTGTCAAAATCATTCGAATGTCATCCGTTTGTAAAATAGATTGCTTTGATGTATCCAGAGCATTATCTAGGAGGGATTTCTGCAACCAATTTGATTGAGTGTAATGAAAATAATGGCCTATCTATGCGATGTCACATGAATCATAGTTGAAACACCCCGATACCCATCAAAATGGTTGAAATGTTGATAGATCCAAAACATTCAATTAGGAAGATTCCTGTTGGGTAATGTGGAGACCTGGTCCACTGTAATTTTATTAACCTCCTAATTAAAAATCTCACCTACCTACTTTCCCACCTATCACATCTTACCTACCGCTCTCATGGTTTCTATAAATAGCCTCTTTTGGCTTAAAGGAGAAGTCAAACCAAGCCCTCCTGAGAACTAAGAGAAAGAGAGGAAGAAAGAGGAAGGAAGAGAAGAAAATAGAGATTTTATTGTAAACGTCGAGACGCTCGATTGTATAATTCATCGAAAAAATAAAATCCTCTGCAGCTCCGTGGACGTAGACAAATTTGCCGAACCACGTAAATCTGTGTCGCTCTGGTATTTTTCTGCATGCAATTTTACTCGTTCCATTTGTCGCTTTATTGCCGTCATTTTTCACAACAACTGGTATCAGAGCTTGGGTTCGAATCTAAGGAAGAACGATGGGCGAAGACGAAGTGATGACATTGGGGATCGAGAAGTTCAATGACATATTTTGCTTATTGGAGGATGTAGATAGAGGACTACCTATATGAGAAGAAATTTTATCTTCCGTTACTGGAAAAGCGACCAGAAAAGATGGACGAGGCAGAATGAAATTTGTTGGATCGACAGGTGCTGGGGGTTATACGATTAACCCTTTTCGAGATCGGTTGCCACAACGTTTTTATAGGCCAACATTTTGCACCATAAAGGATTGCAGGCTCGACGAGGCAGAATGAAATCTGTTGGATCGACAGGTTCTGGGGGTTATACGATTAACCCTTTTCGAGATCGGTTGCCCACAACATCATCAAGGAGAGGACTACTGCATATCTCATGGCGGTTTTATCTAGTATGTATGAAAAGTCATTGACGAATAACAAGAAACATCTGATGAAAAAGTTATTCACTTTGAAGTTGGTGGAATGTGTGTTTATTGCTCAACACCTAAATGATTTCAACACTATCACAAATCAGTTACCGTCTGTTGAAATTGATTTTGATGATGAAATACGTGTGCTGATATTGTCGTCTTTATTGCCAAATAGCTGGGAAGCCATGAGGATGACAATTAGTAGTTTTACAGGTAAATCTAAGCTGAACTATGATGATATTCGTGATTTGATTTTGGCTGAGGAGACGCACAAGAAGGATTCTGGCGAGGCCTCGTGTTCAAGTTCGGCGCTGAATTATGATTCCAGAGGGAGATCACATGACAGTAACTCAAACAGAGGAAAATCAAAACCAAAGTCTGGTCAGCAGACAACCTGCTGGAATTGTGGCAAGACTAACCACATAAAAAAGAACTGCAGGAATCCTAAGAAGAAGGAGAATGATAGAACTAATGTTGTAACTGAAGAAATACAAAATACACTATTTATGACAGTTCACAGTTCTGTCGATGACTGGATACTGGATTTGGGGGCTTCCTTCCATACATCTTCTCGTCAGGAGTTAATGCGAAATTATGTTGCAGGTAACTTTGGGAAGGTATATCTGGCTGATGTAAAAACTCTGGGCGTAATGGAAATGAGAGACTTTGATATTGCACTCCCTAACAAGAGCAAATGGACTTTGCAAAAAGTCAGGCACGTTTCGGTATTAGAGCAAGACTTACATATTTATGGTGTGGAAGGGAGGGAGTTGTTGTTCGTGTAAAGAGAACTTAATTGAGCTGATGAAGGTATGTATTAGGGTCGTTTAGTGTAATTTGGATATATATTAAATTTATATATTGCTAAAATGTTATTATGGGATTATGTTAATTGAGGTTAAAAAGATTAGCAAGAACTTTGGGCTTGTTTATTGACTTAAGGGAGAAGTGTAAGCGAGTTAGTAGATTTGGAGAATTGATTCAGGTAAAGTTTTAATTTAGAGTTATTTTACTTTTAAATAAACTTATTTCAAATAAAAATATTAAATCATTTGTGATAATTTAGTTATATAATAAAGTATAAATTAAGTGGTGGGATTTAAATGGACATATATTAATCTCAAATTTCATAAAATGTTGTAAATTAAAAATATTTCAATTATAAATTTTGATAAATCATTTATTTAGTTTAACAATAATAATACTTTGTAATTGATGAGTGCACTTACTTATATGTTATTAGTAGCATTTTTTTTCTTTTAATTTGAATTCATTGATTGTTATCGAAACCTGATTGTGCTATTTAGTTGTATTTTATGCGACATTTTAGATGTTGATCATATCATTATGATAAATATATATTTTATAAATACTAATATTATATATTAATTTAGAGAGAGAATTGAATGAAAATGATATAGTAAGAAAATCAACTACATAGACAGATTGTATGTACATGCTTAACTATGATGGAGTGTGTCATTTTATGGTATTTGCAGGAGAGCACAAAAGTACTCGCGCATGAGATAATTATATATAAAATGATATCGATATGAAGATGATATCGTACGAAATAATAAAATATTTGAAAATTTTTTATTGATAATATTCATAAATATAAATTTTAAAATAATTTTTATAATGATTTATTAAAAGTTTAATTGACATGTATATCGTACCATTTTCATTTCATTAATGTGATTTAGAATTAGATGTAAGCTCACAATTCTCTTAAACTAACATAACATTTTTAATTATTTGATTATAAGATGAGTGTTAGAAGAGAAAATATATATAGAAGATAGAAAATATATAAAAGATGTGAACCACTTGAGTTAAGGAAGATACTTAATTGTATTTCTTTAATTTATTTTTTAGCGACTTTTTAATTTTATTGAATTATAAACTATTAATGATATTCAAGTCATTAAAGATATGTATACTGAAGCTGTTACTTGTGTTAGAACTGATGGAGGATTGACCAAATATTTTCTTATTTCTGCTTACATCAGGGATTGGCTCTAAGCCCGTATCCTTTTGTTTTAGTTATGGATGGTCTTACTGGACATTGGTCTTACTGGACATTTGTTACTGGACATTTGCAGGAGGATGTACCTTGATGTATGCTTTTTTGCTGATGATATCCTTCTTGTGGATAAGACGAGAGAAAAAAGCTCAGGAAAAACTTGAATTATGGAAGTCTACATTGGAGTCTAAAGACCTTCATTTGAGTAGAATTAAAACTGAATACATGGAATGTAATTTTAGTAGCTGTAGCTTTTTGGCTCCTTTTATTATGACTTTGAACTCATTAACATCAAATGATTCCGATGCTAATTGTTCTCTTAAACCTCTCAAGAAGTTATGATTTTTTGTAGGTATTGGTATAATGAGGAGTCTGGATAGAGATGCTAATTTTGCCTCATACTGTATAATTGTCTTTGAACTTTGAGTGCTGAAAATTTTAGCTTGAAGTACTAATCTTGCTAATGGCAAATAAACTAAGTTCTGAATACTTCTAAAAAATTTGTTTCATTCAATCATCGAAATTGGCATCATCTTTAATTTTTCAAGATGCCATGCTTTTCGCCACCATTTCACAGCTTTGTCTTCTAACATAAAAATAGCCAATTACACTCTTTTGGAAAACTATCAAGCAAATCATACCATCCAAAATTTTTTCTATTTTAGCAACCATTATTTATGAATAGTTGGTTAACTTGCATTTTTAAATGTTTTTGGTTTAAGTGTCTGAAATATCATTTCATTTTGATTGACTTTTTTTGCAAATTTTTATATTTGCCTACTGCAAAGAAGATGACTTTTCAAGGGATGGTTATTTATCAATCACTCTAGAAATGAAATTCATCATATTGT